AAAAGGTTTACATGAGACAACCTGAGGGTTTTGTTGTGAATGGAAAAGACAACTTGGTATGCAAGTTAAATAAATCCTTATATGGACTCAAGCAGGCATCACAGCAATGGTATTTGAAGTTTGACGATGTTGTGGCTTCTCTTGGTTTTGTTGAAAATACAGTCGATCAATATATTTATCTTAAAAACAACAGGAGAAATTTTATTTATCTTGTCATGTATGTTGATGAGATACTTAAAGAAAATCGTGAAAGTCATGCTCACTTTCCAGTGTTCAAATTACTTAAGGTGGTAGATTACTCAAATTCTGATTTTGCTGGATGTCGGATGATTTGAAGTCAACTTAAGGTTATATTTTCATGTTGACTGGTGGTACTATCTCGTGGAAAAATGTTAAGCAAACTCTAATGGTATCTTCAACTATGCAGGCTGAATTTGTGGAATGTTGTGGAACTATAATTCAAGTCATTTGGTTAAAGAATTTTGTTTATGGGCTGAAAGTTGTTGACTCCATCTCGAGATCAATCACTATTTATTGTGATAATAGCGCAACAGTGTTCTTTTCAAGAAACAATAAAATTCCAGTGGATCGAAATACATTGAAATCAAATATTTGGTGGTTAGAGTCAAAGTCAAGGAATGGCGGATGAAAATAGAGAATAACAATATAGAGGTGATGATTGCAGATCTTTTGACTAAGGGACTCGCTCCTAAACGTTTTACGAAACATGTTGCTTATATGGGTATTGTGGAAACTTTTGATGTTTTTGGATAGTGGAAGTTATTTATGTAACACAACCCATATGTTTTCGGGTGCAGCCCCTTCCGATAATAAAATATATCTTCATCTCCCATAAATTATTTTGAGTATGCATTTAACTTATGTCTTTTAATAAGATATTATTTTGATCTCGAGATATGCCAATTAAAGACATAAGCTGAGTCTCTTTTAGAGACATGATGCTTTATTTTGATTAGCAGCATTTTGAGGACCNNNCATACTACCTCATTGGTTGGAGGATGGGGATCCATGTCGATTAGGATGTTGTCATTTGTATCTGTGGAGTGGTCTTACATCATTTGATTGGTGTAACGACTGCCATGTTCGATGTTAACATTCTTGTTGGATCGCATCATGTTGTGTAAGGTGTTATCATTACAGCTATACTTGTGTGGCCACCTATGTAGTCTGACCCGGAGGTTAAAAGTTTTGTTCTGTAGCAATCAAATGTTTGCCCAAGTGGAAGAATGTTAGAATAATCCTATTATGTGGGCTTCCATTTGATTTCAAATTTTACGGTTTAGATGTATGGTTTGCAATGATATTATGATTGGCCCAATATGTTAGTGATCACGTGGGCTGTTGTACACCTTACAGGCTTTATTATTTATAATGTGGTAATTTTAAGTATGTGGGCCGAAATTAAGTAAACCCCAATTAGGGTTAGAGTCGGTAATGTGCCAACTTTATGATTTCCTATATAATGGTTAGGTCTCCTCTCTCCTCCATATCGTTTTTGCCTTGCCCCATTGACGGTCGATTATTTTTTAGGAGCAAGGAGAGGAAGATCTATCTGATAATATTCATACATAACAATGTATTCCACACATATGAATTTCGAACTATCAATTAATATGTGTGATTCTTATTCTTAAAATGATTATTGAATAATTACAACACCTCATTCCTAATACCCCAAGTCTTTTTGTTTGTCAATAGTAAACAACGTTATTCGATGATATATTGGCATTTAACGGCACCATATATAACTTTACGTGAATTTCTGTAATCACATGATCCATTAGTACAACTTTTAGAAATAAGAGTAATTGTTATTAAGAAAAATAACTTTAATTACAATTAGTATAATTATCCTCAACATCAATAACTATTGACACAATTCCAAAAAAAAAAAAACTACGTTATAAATTTAATTAGACGTTTGTCCAATTAAATTTTAAATTAGCCACTCTCTCTCTCCACCTCCATTCCTATTTTCAATCTACTTAATTTGCAAAATGTATTACAACTATAAAATATGTGGCATGCACGTGACGAAGGGGATCTCATATATGCCGACGTGGTATCGACTCTCATTAAGCCTTTATCTCAGCTATATTTCAGTTGCATTTACGCCTCTACCTCAACTATATTTCAGCTGTATTTATCTTCAGAGAGCTGGCTACATTTCTACTTTAGTTGTATTTCAACCGCATCTATCTTTAGAGAACTTATCACACCTCCACAACAACTGCACCCCATCAAAGGTTCCTTGCCAATTAACTATTCTCCTAAGCGCACCAACTTAGTTGAACCAGTATTATCCTAAGTGCACCCACTTAGTCAAACTTATATTCTCTTAAGTACATCAGTTTAGTCGAGCAGCTATTCATGATTCCATAGATGAACCATCTACCATGAAAAAAGACATTGATGAGATGCGTGATACCCTTACGGAGTTACCTCTTCCAAAGATGATCACTTTGATCGGTGAGGAGCGTGACACTCCTACGTGAGTCGTCTATGATTCCATCGAAGATAATACTCTCTGTGGATGAACCATCCACCATGAAGAAAGCTCTTGATGAAACGTGGGGGTGTCACTTCTTCCACGGATGTCAACTTCGTGGCGCGTGACAACCCACATGGGTCGCCTCCGATTCCATTGAAGATGATGCTTTCTATGCATGAACCATTCACCATGGACGAAGCCCTTGACGAGGTGTGTGATACCCTCAACAGGGTCACCTCTTCTAAGGATGTCCACTTCGATCGATGAGGCATGAACACCCCACATGGGTCTCTTCTGATTCCATCGAAAATAATACTCTACATGAATGAACTATCCACTATAGAGAAAGCCTTTAACAAGGTGTGTGACACCCCCCATGGGGTCACTTCTTCTAAGGATGTTCACTTAGATGGGTGAGGAGTGGATACCCTACATCGGTAGCATTTGATCTAAGATAATACTCTCCATGAATGAATCATCTAATATGAAGGAAGCCCATGACGAGGTGCGTGACACCCCCCACCCCCCATGGGGTCACCTCTTCCAAGAATGTCAACTTCAATCGGCGAGGCCCTTAACACCCCTACTGAGGCTGCCTCCAATTCCATCAAAGATGATACTCTCCATGGATGAACCATCCACCATAGAGGAACCTTGACGAGGCGTGTCAGCCCCATACAAGGATGTCACTTTATCACAGCTACTTATGTTTAGAGCACTACCTCTGCTAGTTATATATTCAAAGTCACCCTCTGTATCGATATCAGTACAGTTGTTTTTATGGTACATTAGCTTCATTATAGGGTCTTATATTTCAAGTTCAACCCGCATATAAATATTCGACTCGGACTTGGGGAACTATTGTAATACTAGTATCTTAGTATCATTATATTATTACTGTTAGCATATGCATTATATTATTGCTGCTAATTATGCTTGCTATATCATTACAACCAGTACATATGCCACGTTATCTATATTTTCATTTCATTATCGACAGCATATCATCTGCTATGATACATTGTAGGCTCTCTGCATATTTTATCTTGAAAAATTTTAATTTGATATTGTCCATGCTATCGTTATTAGTATTTGGAGGAATTGAATGGACCTCGATTTATTTCATATATGTGCGGTGCAGATATTATGTTGTGTTACAAGTTGGTTTAGTCCATATTACAGAGGAGATGCTGTCAAAATTTTGACAAGTTATATGCGATATCTATTTTTCGAGGTAATTTGTAAGTCATCACCTATTCAGACTCGTACAAATATTTTTAAGACAGTCGTAAGTTTTCATAGGTTGAAATGGCTTATATTCTCGAGATAATTCGTATGTCTTTTCGTAGCTTGCGCGGACGGAAGGGGTCTCACGTATGCTGACATGGTATCGACTATTTAGTTTGATTCGG